AGTTATTTACTGTCTTAGCCATTTCGAACTGTGTTAGTTCTTACTTACTGTGTTAGCCATTTCGAATGTTTCCAGTGCATGCTGATATTGCTGCACCAGTGAATCCATCCATTTTTTTAAACCCCTTCACGAGTTTCCTATTGTAAGTAGTCATTTACCCTACTTTCTCACAACCGATAGCAACAATGCGAATACATATCAAAATGTCTTCAACTGCATGGCCTCATGCATTTAACCATCATTCTAGGCAATAATCAGTTATTAGTCAGGTAAGTGCTCAGCATGTCACAACTGTAATTCACAACTACAGTGGTGGCCAAAATTATGGACACTTTTGGAAATTTTTATGTTTTTATTGTGTAATTGTAATATTAGAGAAAGTGGTCTTTCCTATGCTGAAATTGCAAGACAGGTGGGTGGTTCAGTGACTACATCTAGAATCCGAAAGTTTTGTTTACGATATAAGGAGACAAATTCAATAAAAAACAAAGAAGGAAAAGGCCGAAAAAGGTGCCCCACATCTATTGATGACAGAAGAATAAAAAGACTATGTCTCCAAGATAGAAAAATGTAATCAGCGGCCATCAGAAGTGATCTGAATGATGCTGGTGTTTCTGTCACTTCAAGAACAATCAGGAGAAGATTAACAGATGTTGGACTGAGAGGTAGAATTCCACGAAAAAAGCCTTATCTTAATTTTTAGCAACGAAAAAAAAAAAAAAAGACTACAGTGGGCAAAGGAACACATTAATTGGACAGATGATCAGTGGTCACAGTTCAAGATTATGAGAGTGATGAAACTAAGATATCGTTATTCGGTAGTGATGGGCGAAAATATGTAAGACGTAGAATAGGAGAAGAGCTACATCCTGACTGCATTCAAGCAACTGTGAAGAATCCAATTAGTGGTATGATTTGGTCATGCATGTCAGCAGATGGTATTGGTCGCCTTCATGTAATCGATACGACAGTGAATGCCAGAAAATACATTGACACTATTCTAGAACCAAAACTTCTACCTTCCATCAGAGATCTCTTTCTCAACAATGCTTCGTTTATTTTCCAGCAGGATTCTGCTCCTTGCCACACGGCCAAAGTATCGAAAGAGTTGTTTTGTACAAAGAGCATTAAATTGTTGTCATGGCCAGGAAACAGTCCTGACCTCAATCCTCTCGAAAATTTGTGGCACCGTTTGAAAACTCTTGTCCGAATGAGGCGCCCATCAAATAAAAGGGAATTATTTGAGGCTATAATTGTTTCATGGCATCATGTAATAACGAAAGAAGAGCTTAAAACTCTTGTCAGCTCAATGAAACGTCGATGTGAAGCTGTAATCAAAAATAAAGGGTACCTTACTAAATACTGATAACTCACTGCAATCATCACTACCTAATGTATATCGATAACTATTATCATTTAACTTTTTTGTATTGCAAATAATTGAATTTTGTGTTTTGTATTGAATTCAGTAATAAATTCTCTTTAAAATGATATATACAAGTTTGCATTTTGTGACACGTAACGTTTTCTATAAGCATACAAAGTTCAAAAACATAAAAATTTCCAAAAGTGTCCACAATTTTGGCAACCACTGTATATGTTCAGTGCGATCTTGGCCAATAATATAAGCTTTGGCATGTGATTGTTGTTTGAAATGTTTCAAACGTACCATTCACCACTTTCCTCTACAATATATAATAAACACATTATACGTATTTCAAATGTATAGCTGTATTTCTAATTCATCCTACAATTTGAGCACTATTTTGAAGTTAATTATTAACAACTTGCTGTACATCTTGGCAACATTCAGACACTTACTAACTCTGAATATAGTTTTTAAATAACATAATCCAAGTATTAAATTATTCAATATTAACAATATGAATTTTAAGGCTTAAAGTTACAGAAGATTGAAAAATCACTTTTTTTAAAGGATGAAATATTTATGTATACGTAATGATTATTATAACTTAAGCACATGCTGAAAAAAATATATACAGAAATTCAGAACAGACTGATTACATTTGAATAAATATGCCATGCTGGAAATACAGAGAAATTCAGAATAGACTGATTACATTTGAATACACAATTCCTATACAGAGAAATTCAGAATAGACTGATTACATTTGAATAAATATGCCATATCCATGTATAAAACAATATGTAACATTCTATGCATTTTTCACTATTCGAATGAAAAAAAAAGTATAAAAATTCTATCCACCTTTCACCCATTCAAATGAAACATACTTGGAATAAATGGGAAATCGGTACACTACTAGCCAATTGAAAGATGTTTTATTTAATGATAACCTCTGCAAGCTGATACATTAATTAAAAAATAGAGATATAAATTAAAATCAAATGTTATATAATGGTTTTATGTATCAGTGAAGTTTAATTTAAAATAATATTCATAATCATTTTTTGAAATTAAAAATTGTATTTAATAAGGAATACTTTTATTAAGAAAACAGATGCAAGCAAAAGAAAACTGATAGGATGCAGTTAATATAATTATTGAGAATATCACATTTTACAGTCTCACAATATGAAAGATAACTACAACACCAATTCATTTTAAAAACATTTACTGCGGATATAAGCTGACAGTTTTAAACAATGAGCTTAAATTGTTTTTTAATGCTTACATATAACAATAATAATAATTCTGAAAAGTTTTTTTTAAATAAAATTTGCCTTCTTAGATGATCTGCACAGAACAGAAGTTGTATTCAATATAACACTCATTATGCTTGAATTATTTAATAATAAAAAGCTCTGTATCCTTACATGCAAATTTATACTCATATATTTAAAAAATGTTTTTAAAAAGTCAATTACAAATATAGAAATAAGTACTGTTTTACTCAAGAAGAAATATTAATCAGAAGGCAAAAAATAATTTGCTTTGTAACTGTTCCCTAAATTAGTTCTTAAAAGTTTCAATTTATGTTGCTAATTAATAAAGGGGAAAAGTAAAAATAAAAAATAAATAAATAAAATAATGCAAAAGCTGATTCTTATCAGGGATAAAGAACTAATTCCACAATAACTGATTAACAAATAGTTAATGCCATAACATCTGAAAATAAATACTACTGGAAAATAAATACTATTCACAATACTATGTAAATTTATCAATATCCTATAAAAATTTAAAGATTTTACCAAAATAGCTCCTATGATAATTAATTATTTCTATCATGAAAGTCCTGACTTTAAAGGCATTATTAAAATTAATAATAATATGTCCTTTATAACATTTACAGTTTAACAATTTTATGAAGTTGTACAATATGAATCGGATTCTGCAATGCTTATATTAAATAGTTTATCATCCTTGTTGGTATCATAACGAACAATGAGTTTTGGGATACCCTCTTCAAAGAACTCTGCTGCCTACAATTGACAGTCAGTTATTCAGGGTCATTTCCACTTCTTAATCAGTGTCTTGACTTTTCTTGAACAATCTCACCAATTTTCACACTTTACAGTCACCCACTGCAATGCCACCGTACACTTCATATATATGGTGACGAGTATTTGCAATTTTCATGTTTCTTGTTATTAAGAATTAAATGGTTGACCATATTTCGCAGTCAGCGAGGATCTCAGTTTTCTTAACACTTCAAAGACGATTGATTGTGTTTCAACTGGATGGCTGCATAAATTTAAATTAACCTTAACGAATTAAAGAAGCTTATACTGCAATTAAATTCAAGTAGTACTGATGTTGAATTATTACTATTTTAAAGTAATACTATGCAGTTTTATCTTTTAAATTTAAAATATTAATTTTTTATTAATTAACTACAGTAATTAAGAAATGAACTGAGTTAAATACTTTTACCTTACATAACAAAGCACAGACAGATGCCATGAATACAAGTGATGTAAAATTCTACCTCCCCCCTTAAAAAAAAGTGTGCACTCATTCTCATGTAGGTGTGAAATTTTAAGTAGTATTCACAATTGGGCATTACTTCAAAAACAACCTATGTACATATAATACCAACTTATGAAATTTACTGATTTCACCAAGTTATTAAAGTTTCTTCCCTTTTATGCCCAAATGTCAGGATAAAAATAAAATTTCAATTCTTTGCATGGAACAAAAATAATTTACATAAAATGCTAAGGCACATAAAGGATTACAGTCAAAAGTCGTTAATCTGGACTCGTCAGGACTTCGGCGATTCCGGATTATCGATTTTTCCAGATTATAGATCATCAGTTTAAATCTGGTAAGATGGCATGCAGAAATTACAAAATTAAAAATATGAAATCGTAATTTCTGAAATAAAGAACAATTATGATCTAAAGGGTATCAAAATTTACAAAAAGAAAAAGCTTAATATTTATTTGTTTACTTTATTAAACATTTCTTTCAATGTAAGTTGTTTAAGTTGCTTCGTTTCACGTGATAATACTTTCTCTTTTATTCTATTAAACAGACATAATTTCTTGTTTAGTTACAAAGTTCCGCTGTTCAAGTCCTATAATTGCTGTGTCGAGAATACCGACTAATTTGTCAATCGAAATTTTTTTGTTTTCAATAACCTCTGTTACTTTCTTCACTATCAGAAGTGAATTATAATGACGAGAAACTTGTTTTAAATCATATCAAAGACGGAGTATATCGAGATGAAATACTACATTTAGAGTAAGGAATTATAAGCCGAATAAAATAAAAATATCTGCCCCTGAAGATAGGGATAGTGCTGACAGATCAACTTCCAATTCATTGCGCTGCGTTTGCCCCCGTTCCCCACACCGCCACAGAGCAGCGTGAAATTGATAAACAGATTTCGGATTTCATAACATACTTTCGCTCTGTAAGATCCTTTAACAGATTAGTAAATATATATCGGAAATTCTATTTGATATAATCGAAAGTTTAAGCTTACTTTTATAAAAGTGCTCTAACAGTCTGCAAAAAATAATAAGCCGGATCCAATTCTAAGATTAAGGAACAACGCAATCTGCAACATTAACTGAATTAGATAATTTTAGCTTAGCTTATACCGTCCGTTATACATTAAACGTGCATGCGTAAACATTTTATGTGCACGCGCATATTCGCAGCCGTAAAGGTCTTATGCGGACACATAAACGCCTAACGTACACATAAACCTCAAAGCTACAAACTTTCTGTGCATCAACTCGATGCATGCACAGAAAGTTTGTAGCTTTGAGGTCCGGATTATGGGTGTCCTAATTTTTGACGACTTTTGACTGTATTTAAAATTATTTCTTAAATGTTTAAGAAATGCAGAACATCCATTCATGGTGACTACTGTATCTCACAATATTCAGTATATGCATTTAATGTAAAGTTCAGATGAACACTGTTCAACATCACTTGGGTATTATGAGAAAATATGAGTACTGGTCCCAAGTTCATTGTGTGTTAAGACACTGTTAAGTCCTGAGTATGAAAATTATTGGCGTATCCCCATATTTCAAAACTTAAAAGAGTTAATTCAACATTAACAGCAGATATTTGCATTCATTAATTTCTTCTCCATTAATAATCATTGCATACTGTTAAAGGGTAAGTAATACATTTTTTCTGGATGAAATGAAGAACACATTTCATTTCTCTTTTCATATGTAAAAAATAAAAATGTTACATTAAAAAATACATTATGGCTTGAAATTAATGTGCATAATTAAATCTTGGAATACACCTGGCTTTCAGTCAGAAAAGTTCTCTTCATGAAAAATACACAACATGCTATATAATAGCCTTAAATGTATTAAGAACCAGAATTTGAATCAATAGTCTGAAACGATAAAATTGTAGCAGTATGTGGTTGGTTTTCCATTTTTTTAATTTCACACTCTGATACCAACCTATTTAATTCTGATGCATCATAACCTAACAGACTTTTTAAGTCACAAACAAATTTGTATACAAATCGCTTTCCATGAACCTGAAAAATATAAAAAATATGTAACACGAACTTAAAACTTTAGCACACATGAGCGACTGATACACGAATTAAAGACAAGAATGCAGGAAATAGTCAAGGCAAGAATTTTTCAATCTAAAATAGAATAACACACTCATTCAGATAGACAGTGACTTGTAATATTAATAAGACAGTTATTGTTATTAATTAACAATAAGTAACTTAAATCTTATTACTTTTCCAACAGGGGGAAAAGATATCATCTAAGTTTAATTCCCTTATTTTTAATAGTAAAATGTAATGCATTTTAGTAACAAATGTGCAAAATATACAGTTATATAACTTATTCATAATACTGGTTAATTGTAACACAAAATACATTCATTAATCAATAAAAAATACTACATATTATAAATGAAGTTTCAAAGACTTGCAATCAGTTACGCATATCACTTTTAAGTTAGCGGAAAAAAAATTTAGATAGTTCAATGATAAGTACCAAAAGCATGTTTCAACCACAGACAGAAATGATAGATAAACCCAAAAAAAGTTCATAAAGAACAATTATATTTGTTTTTATGTACAAATCAATAACAAATAAATTAATAAAAAATACTTCGTCCCAAATTCTTCAGTCCTTATGAGGTAATGAAAATTCATCCATCTTATCATTACGAAGTACGAAAGATAGGACGGCATGAAGGCCCTACAATAATGTTTAGCTCTGCTGATAAGATGAAACAATGGTGCACAAACTGAACATTTGCCACCAAGACATTTTTTTGCACACTTTTTCTGCTTGTTTTGTCTTTTTAGATCTCTAGTCCTCTTCAACCAGCCATGAATATCTGGTGTTGCAGAATAGACATGTGCTTATAAGTTTCCTTTTACATATAAGAATGGCAACATGCTCACAAACAAGATCAAGTGACCACCTCTTCTCAGACGATAGATGAAAACAGATGCAATGATGAAGTTTGACAGCAAAAGACTCTAAATTTTTAAGCATGATTATCAGTTATAGTCAACATCATTATTTTCTCAAAAATATGACAACTTTCTGAGATTGTTATCTTAACATAGTGGTCACTGTGAAAGGTTTCACTGTAATACATTTTTAAACATTTATATTTTAATTCTACGTATTCTAAGTAATTCTAAGTAATTCTAAGTAATTTTTGAAATATATATAGAAGGCACCCAACTACAAGTCTACAAATACAAGTCTTAAAGAGTATACACTTTGAATCCTCTCAATTGCTCACTGACACATTCCGAACGACGTGCTCCATTCTGACTTTCTAATTCAACTCCTTGAAGTCTATTTTCGTCAAAATTCTTTCAATACATCTTAGATAGATAGACACATAGATACTCACCTTGCATTCAGTTCCTATTTATGATCCAACAGAATCCAGCTCAGCCAAATGCCCCATATCTGTGATGAGCAGATCATTTTAAAATCTTCCCAAGAAGCTTAAGAGGGTTTGTCTGCTTGATTAGGGTTACTATCACACAATCAACATTCAAGAGGCCTAACTGGCAACCACTTAATTTATTTAGCTCCCAAATAGACTTAACCTACCCAATTTCTTGGAAATTCTCCTGTGCTACGACTAAGAAACATCTCTTCTTAGATATGCCACACCAAAGATTTATGTTTAACTGTTTTTTGTACTCTTAATTTTTAAATTATTTTATTTAAATTTTCATTAAAACTAGACTGCAAACTTAACTTATTCTTAATCCTAAATTAAAATTAATATTCTCACTCATCCACCTTAACCATAACTTTAATTTAAATTTAACTAGTAAGTTTAAATCAATACCTTCATTGCTTCACCTCAAATAATAACAGCTTCTGCATCTGAATAATGACTGACTTCCCTAAAACATCTCCTCATTTAACATTCTGTTTAATTTTCCCATCTCAATTCTTCAGTCATTGACACTTTCTTTTAATGACCACTGATCAAGGCTCTTCAGCATTTTTCACTCAGATTATTAACCTAATTTTCCTGAGAAACAGCATTGACCTTTTCTTTGCACGTCATGGCAACATGTTTTGCTGTCCGCCTCCATGACAACCTTGCACTGCACATGCCAGCAAGCTACTCACTGTTCTCTCGACTTCTGTTTGCCGCCACCCTACACAAAATACTCATCCATTTCAAGTGGCTTGTTTCGGAAGATTTTATCTCTTATTGAAATGGGTGAATATCTGATCAACTTGTTTCCAACATCACCCTTAATGGCATGCTTCCTTTCTTATTCTTTAATGCAACTGCTCTTACTTTTCTTATCTGTTGAATTTCAATTTGAAGATATGGAGGTAATTGCAGTTTTATTACTCCTTAATTAAAACGCCTTGGCAGTTGGTCCCGACTACATAATCAGAAAAGATGAATGAACACTGGTGGTTTGACCCAGACTTGACTATTGGTGACTGAATATGCCAACACAAAAGCGGTTTTCCCCCATTTATCACATGAATACAGCTTAGAAAATATTTCATGAATGCATCTCTCCTTAAGTAGATAGGTTTTTTTTTTAAATGCTTTGCCATAACAAATAATTTAATGCACATGTAATTAAGACATTTCTCCAATACAAACTTAAAAAATAACACCAAGCGCACAGAAAATATTAATGTCCAAATAAGACAGTTTCTTTATTTCATTAGAGATAATATTAAACTTTTATCACCTTAGCTATCATTTCTCCATCATAGTAATATCTGAGAGCTCTGCTCAGCTTTTCATAATTCATAGTTGGTTTATTTTTTCTTTGACCCCACAACTGGGCAACCATTTCAGGATTAATAAGCTTAAACTCTCCATCATTTCCAACCCACTGAATGAAATCACGATGGTCTTTATCTGTTAATAATTCCAGGAGAAACTGCCATAGTTGAATCTGGCCATTGTTTCCTAAAAAAATTAAGCATATGTAAATGTAATCTAAAAACAACAAACTAAAAAAGGTTTTTATTCACCAACTTCAACCTTGAATTGATAAGTAAAATAATAAGCTTATTTTGTCCTTTTACTGTACAGGTAGATTATAATTATGGACATTTTAAATTTCAATAGCTTGTATTTTTGCAAACTTTTAAAAAACATCATATTTCCTAAAATGTAAATGTGTACATGCAGTTAGAGAAAATTCAATGGTGAATTCCTTACACATGCACATGCAATAAAAAGTGTCTATTTAGCCTAAAAACCTAAATTAGGCATGACTAAGTTATAAAACCAATTACAATGGCAAATCCAATCAGCTAACCACAGATCTTTTTTTAAAGACCTATCAAATAGTAATAGTCATCAATTCATCCAGTTTTACACTAAAAGCTTTCTTTAGAAAAGAAAAAGACAGCAATTGATATAATTTGGACAGAGCTAAAGCTTGAGCAAGTAGTTTTGGTAGTAAGTCAAATTTAAAGTAATAATATTTATCACAATAATGACATCAAGAAAATAATTAACAGGATATAGAAAAACAAGAATGATTTCCCCACTACAAGCAATCGGATCCATGGTGAAAATGCAAAGCAAATGGCTAAGATGATAATAAATGATGCAAAAGGAAACTTTGCTTATATTACAGAGAAACAGAATCACTAACAAAAAAGGAGGAAATAGCAGTCAAAATCAGATGATGGAAAAAATGAGAAAAAATCAGCACAAAAATTTCACTGCAGACCTTCGACACAGAATTGTGACCACCATTCTATTATACAATCACACTAAAAGTTAAAAATAGAATTCTTAGCATACCTAACTAAACTCCACAAAGAATTAAAAGTATTAGAAGCTATATCATAAAAAATAATTTTTAATGCAGCATATCTCAACCTTTTATGACCTGTAAACCATTAAAATCAGTGAAAAAATTTTGTTGACTGGTGTTGTTCCCCCCCCCCCTCCCGAGCATACTGATGTAAAATCCAGTGTTAGCAACCTTCAAAGATAAAATTGTGGATTCTAGTCTCTAAAATTATGACATTTAAATAAAAATATCATATAAAATTTCATTATTAGTATTTTAATCAGAAAATTGTTTTAACACAGACTAAAAATCTATGATGACCGGTTAAATTTTTCCATGCAACAATACCAGTCTACCAGACCAGCAGTTAAGAATCCCTGTTCTAAAAGAAAAAGAAAATCAATATCAACTAATGTACACTAATAAAATATATCTACCTTATCACAAAAAGAAATCTTTGATTAAAAGACAATTTATTCCACTTCTCAAGATATGAATACATACCTGCCCAATCACAGTTTGAAACTGAAGGCAAACTTCAAAATGATCTTTATGAGAGGAATAAGTCTCTATAATCACAATGAAATTCACAAAAAGAACATAGCAGAATTAAATATACTGTATAATAATTTCAAGAAATTATTACTTAAATCCACACCTGTATGATTACCTGGACAGCCTTCATATGAGATTCTGGGTGTTCCTATTCTGGGAGTTGCACGAGGCCGATTTTTTAAAACGATGTTTTTAGTTGCTCCATCTGAAGAAATATATGTTGGTGGTTGGATGATAGCTGAAATTGAAACAATACATCAGAAAACAAGGTGTTTGGGATATCACTACCTCACCTGGAGTGGGAGAATTTTTGCTAGCATTTTTTTAATTCAAAAATAAATAAATAAATAAATAAATAAAATAAAATAAAAAATCACTTTGATGAACATTACAATTTTTCTTTCTTACATATTTAAAAACCACACTCTGTATGTTTAAAAAAAGCAAAACATTGTAAGTAAAGTATATTTCATATTAAAAGTTATTCAGCACTAAATCTAGAACAATTTATATATAAATATAATTGTTTAGTCTTTAATACCTCTATATACTTTGTACAAATCACAGCTATTCTAAAATTTCCCCTTCTTTTCCTTACCGTATTTAATCACCATCCCACTGGTGGCCAATGCCTAACTTTGGAGATTTCTACATGATGACTCTTTGGTTATCTTTTATCTCTAGTTCCTCTTATTAATTGCCAAAAAATCTGACTCCACTGAATCAGCAATCTCAACCAAGGTCTTCCTTGTTTTGGGGTTCCATTGGGATTAAACAGCAGTACTTTTTTTATAATAGTGTTATTTCACATTCAGATCACATAAGCCACTCAGTTCATTCTGTTAATTTTGATATATTTTAAGATATCAGGTTACTTATCTAGCTTGTAAAGTTCAAGAATCAGGTTACTTATCTATCTTGTAAAGCTCAAAATTATTCTTTTCCTCCAAATATTATTTTCATTCATACCATTTAAAAATACTTTAGACTTTTCTTTCAAAATTTGTAATACAATTTTCCTCCAGTTTTTGTCATTGTTCACGTCTCAGAAGTATATATCAAAATAGGTCTGACGACCGTTTTGCAAATCATGAAATTTTTCATGAAAGAAATCTATGTCTGAAAAAGCTTCTTAACCCACAGAAAGTCGTATTTGCCAGATATAGCAGATTCTACATTTCGGGAAAAAATATGTCTACTGCTGTTAATGTTTGAATAACAAATAACTCTCTGAAGTGATATATTAAAAAGTAGACAATAGAAAGAACCTCCTTGTTGTACTTCTCTAAATGTGTCAAAACTTTCTGATGGAGATTTTGTGACACTTAGCATCTTTCAACATATGTCTGGTCAGTTTAATAAGTTTAGAAGGAACAATTTAAAGCCTCAAGGGAAAATTTTCTATTTAAACTATTAAAAGCAGCCTTAAAATCAATAATGAGATGATAAGTTTCAGTATTAAATTTCACTGCTTTTTCAATATTGTGGGACAGGCAAAATATTTAGTCCTTGGATCTTTCAACACGAAATCCACATTGATAATTTCTAATCAGTGAATCAGCATATGGCTACAGTTTTAAAAACAAAATTCTGAATAAGATTTTATAAGTACAGTCAAAAGTCGTTAATTCGGACCTCAAAGCTACAAACTTTCTGCGCATGCGTCGCTTTGACGCATGCGTATAGGCATTTACGCGTGTGCGTAAGACCTTTACGGCTGCAAATATGCGTGTGCGCATAATACGTTTACGCTTGCGCGCTTAATGTATAACGGACGGTATAAGCTAAGCTAAAATTATCTAATTCAGTTAATGTTGCAGATTGCGTTGTTCCTTAAACTTCAAATTGGATCCAGCTTATTATTTGTTGCAGACTGTTAGAGCAATTTTATTAAAGTAAGCTTGAACTTTCGATTATGTCAAATAGAATTTCCGATATATATTTACTAATATGTAAAGGATCTACAAAGCGAAAGTATGTTTCGAAATCCGAAATCTGTTTATCAATTTCACGCTCCGGGGGGACACCGTGGAGCGCAATGAATTGGAAGTTGATCTGTCAGCACTATCCTTATCTTCAGGGCAGATGTTTTTATTTTATTTGGCTTATAATTCCTTACTAAATGTAGTATTTCATCTCGATGTACTCCATCTTTGATATGATTTAAATCAAGTTCCTCGTCATTATAATTTGTTTCGGCTAGTGAAGCAAGTGACAGACAGGTTACTGAAAACGAAAAAAATTTCGATTTACAAATTACTTTGTAACTAAACAAGAAATTATATCTGTTTAATAGAATTAAAGAGAAAGTATTATCACATGAAACAAAACAACTTACATTGAAAGAAATGTTTAATAAAGTAAACAAATAAATATTAAGTTTTTCTTTTTGTAATTTTGATACCCTTTAGATCATAATTGTTCTTTATTTCATAAATTACGGTTTCATATTTTTAATTTTGTAATTTCTGCATGCCATCTTACCAGATTTAAACTGATGATCTATAATCCGGAATCGCCGAAGTCCCGACGAGTCCGGATTAACGACTTTTGACTGTAATACATAGCAAACTAATGCCGCAATAATTAGTCCAAGTCATCAAGTCTTTTTTTTTTTTGTGTGTGTGTGTGTGTGTGTGTGTGTGCGTGTGTGGACTGGACACAAATTACTAATATTCCATTCAAATGACATAATTTCTATGTTCCAAATATTAGTAATTAATTCAAATATGTTCTTTAACAAGAAGTTAAAGAACTGCTGTCTGCTGAAATACAATCATGCCCAGAGGCTTTATTAAATTTTAAATTCTTAATTGCATCCTTCTACGTCATTGAAAATTCAATAATTGGTGTATTTAATTATGGCAAAGCACACTAGGGCTATCTGCCTAAGGAGAGGAATGCCTTCGTGGAGGACTTTCTAAGGAAAACTGGCTCATATACATGTTACACATGGGGGGGGAAAACCCCGGACAACCTCAACGACTCAGCCAGCCCTTGCGGGATTCTCCCTCAGATTATTAAACCCGTCCACCATCATTCAAAAGCCGTTTAAAAAGATGAATTTCAAAATCGTTTTTTTATTACACAGAGATTAGTAGTCTGTTTAAAGTCCAATCAACTATGATTTATTTTATGGCAGAATACCCTGCAATTATTAATTTCAAATGCTCAGCATCCCTAAATGAATCCTCTTCAAAAACTCTCTTTTTTTTCCCTTTTGAATAATTTCTTTTCCTCTAATCTGAGTCTATGGTACTCCTCTGCTTTATTTCTTGTATAAACCTGTATCATAAATGCAGTTCATACACCTGTATCATACAATTCTTTTTATCATTTGCTAATGCACAATCATCAACAATTATTCAATACAAGTTGATAATTCTTTAGTCTTTGTTATGAGAGTGCCAAAAGAATTATCAACAGAGCCAAATTTCCGAATTATATCAGAATGAATTACAAAAGGAACAATAATAAATCCATTACATGAAAATTTATTTTACTTTTTTAATCAAAATTTTAAAGTAAAAGAAGTTTTAAAAAAGCTTTCATCAAGATATATTTTGCCCCAATGTAACTCGCTAGTTTCTGCATGATTTATTTCCACAATGTACCTATGAGGGTTTACTTGATCTGGTAAAAGTTAAATAGTCCAAAACGTCTAACAGACATGAAGCAAATTATCACTATGTCTGAAAATAACTACAATACCAGACGAAAGTTTAAATATGCCTCTTTCTTAAAAAAAAAAACTTAGAACATAAAGGTATGCTTTGATGCTACAAAAATCAATTACGGCTAACGGTGATGTAATTAAACACGAACAGTCAAATTCAAATTAAAATGGTAGAGTGGTCAAGATTAACAATTTAATTTAAATTGATTGGATCAGTAACTCTATCATATGAGGACACAGAAATGTAAATTATAGTAAAGGCTGAAATCCTAAACATTAGGTAATTTACATAAATAATAAACACATATTTTGAAGAATAATTTTCCTTAGTATTTAGTTTCTTTCTTCAACCTGTTTCCTTTTCCTTTTGAATTTTTGGATTTAATTAAGATTTCTCTTATTCTAAAACACTAAATGCATAGAAAAGTGGCTAATTTTTTTCTTTAGTAATGAAAAACAGTCAAAAGAATTGAAATATATGTTAAAGGGCGGTTACAGAGCTGGGTGGCAAAATTTTTAAAATTCAGTACACACTGAACAACAAACCAGAAATGCAAAACTTTAGAATTAGAGCAGGCATGGAAGCAGAATTCAGAAAAGCACTAGGCAGCAGAATTTAGGATCCAAGAGTTTGGAACAGGTGAAAAATGCCTAGTGCCACTCTGTGTAGACAGTTAGAATTTAAAATCTTTAAATATAAATTTCATTTCTTTTTATTAAAAAAATACTTTCTATAATGCCTGCCCATGTGATAAGAGTAGAAACATTTTGAGATTCCATGCTTGTGTCTGTGAAAAGAGAGAAAATAAAGGGAAGATAAACATTGTAAGAAAAGGATCTAGTATCAGGAACATAAACATTCAATATTAGTTTTCATTGTTATTCCAGATGTCTCCAAAACGTAAGAATTATCTCAACTATCTGTAAATACACCAGTACGTGTGATACCAGGGAGATATTTTCATTCTGTCACATATTTTTAAAAAACTTTTATAATCGGGGTCTGTAAATCTTGCCTCAAGTCTTCTAAACTTCCAAGCTGCAATGTATTAAATCTAAGAAAAATTATTCCTACCAATTCTGTAAAACAGCAAAAAGCCAGAAAATTTTGGCAACTTATAAATAAGTTGCCAAATGAAACTTATATATGACAGAGAAAAATAAAAATGTTTTATTTAATGTATTGTTAAAGTATACTTTCAATATTTACCATTATTTAATGAAATTATCATGTTACGATGTTTTAAAAAAGTCGTCGAAAAATTCTCAGTCTCGGAATTAAAATTCTATAAAACTATCTTAAAATGCCAAATGTGAAAAGTCACCAATTAGAACCGTTAATAAAAGAATTCACATCAAAAGCGAAAAGTTGTTAAGAGTTCTTTATTAGAAAAAATGAATTTCAAAGCTTTTCACGTCTGCTTAGAAACTTGAGTATCATGTTAACAAATATAAACAATGAACCCATTCAAAGATAACATATAGTCAGTGCATCGCCAAACAATATTCTCCAAAATGCTAATTCACACTAAAATGGCATCAACAAACAGAAATTTCAGAGA